ACCTCTGTCCCGGCCCTTTGCGAGTGGGCGGGCGCACCGGGGGCGGCGCCATGCGCCGGTCACACGCCACACCCACCGCGCCCGCCTCGCTGTTTGGTCTGTAGCTTTTTTTTAAAGACTTTTGAATGTTTAATAATTTTGTAAATCATACGCTTTACACAGAGTACCACGTATTTAATACGACAGGGTGTAAATTTACAATGACAGATGTGTATTTTAGGAAAGAGTACGTTATTTTGAATGGTACTTTGTGGAGAGAAGTGGAGAGCAAACGAGTGCTGTGTCCGGACGCGCGGCCACGGACCTCTGGCTGGCGGGCGGGCGCCTCCGCTCCTCCGTGCCCTCCCCGCCCGGCCTCCGCGGGCGCCTCCCAGCGGTTATTTATTGTAGAAAGTGTATTCATTTGCTTTATAATGAAGAGTAACTTTGCAAAGGTCTATTGAGATGCATTTTTATACAGGCACATGCAAACCCGGCTTGGTTTGGGAGCGGAATGTGTTGCGCTGTTGTAGACGACTCTGCCTGTGTGTCCTTTGGTTTTGTAACTCGTAATCTTTGTTTACAACGAGGGCTTCTGTAACTTGTTTTCATTTAGAACACTTTGGTAGCAATAGCGACTTTGGATACATTTTTGTATGGTACATGTGATGTACATAGGGTTAGTACTTTATTTTTATTTTTAAGAGGTAAAGCATTATGTTAGGGGGAAAAAGTAGGGTGGGTTTCCAAATTTGCATTTTTTATATTAAAAATAAAGTCAAAATTTGGATGGTGTGGCTATTTCATTCCTATATCACCCGGCTGGGCGAGCAGCCTGGAGGACGTGGAGGGCCCTGGGGCTGTGAGCAGGTGGGCGGCCAGGTGGACACACCCTCCAAAATTGTCATCGGTGGCATTATTTATTATTCTACCTAACCCTATTTTCATTTTAAAGCTATAGTTTCTTTTAAGATTTTTAAATGTTTTTTCTTTTTAAGTCTGCATTGTTTGTAATATTTCCATAGAAATTTGAAATAAAGTCTTCCTTTCATAGTTTCGTCCTGTGTTTGGCAGACACACTGTGCTCCCTTCCTGAGACCTGTGCAGGTCCATGTCCCTCGCGCTGCCTGGGGAGGGGGCGATGGTTTGGAGGGAAGCCTGTGGGCCTGCCCGGTGAGCTGGGCCCGGCCCCGAGCAGCCACGGGGAGCCTTATCCTTTGGTCTGTCGGCTGACTGCAGGTCCTCTGAGGTGCCGTCCCGCCTGTCACTGTCCCCACCTGATCCAGCGGTCACGTGGATGGGAGCATGTGCAGCAGGGCATTCAAGCTTTGAGCTTTCGTTCCTGCCGGGAGCCATAGCCAGTTTGTCCTCTGGGCACCCTGTCCTGGCGTGGGCTGCTGAGGTCACTGGGGCAGCCGCCTGGGCTCAGAGCCGGTCGCCCTGGCATGGCGGGGTTGGCGCCCCAGACCCCCACCTGGGCACTGTTCTGGAAGCTTCCAGAGCCTGCCAGGCTGTCTCGGCCCTTTGCCCTTGGCTCCTGGACGGGCCCTGACGCTTGGAGTGGCTCTAGCAGTGGGCACCCCTCGCTGGCCTGACCACATGAGGCTGGTGCGGGCCTCAGGACCTGTCCTAGCACCTGGCAGGATTTCACTGTCCAGACCCGAGGGTCCTGTGTGGGTGCTGGGGGCCGGGGCCGGGTGCTGGGGTTTCTTTCGTCGTCTTGGAGGTGCTTTCCAGGATGGGAGGAGAGAGGTCCGTGCAGTCGCAGACCTCTCAGATGCCGCCCTGGCCCCACCAGTCCCCCAGGCCTTTGCCCTCCCTCCTCGGCCTTGGCCTGGGCGATTGTGAGACGAGATCGCGGTCCCCCACAGCGCTGTTGCTGTGCAGACAAGACGGTTAACAGGATGGGCAGCCTTGGGGGCCCCCAGGGGAGGGCTCCCCGTGTGACCGGTACCCCCGGGCACGTCTGTGCCAGGGCTGGACCAAGGCGTGTGCCCTGCTGGCGGGTGCCGACGTGACGTGTTGAGCAGGGATGTGTGCTGGGTGTGAGCGGGTGTGACGCCAGTGGGCCCCTGGCCGTAGGTGTTGACTGCAAGTCTGCAGCCAGGCCTTGCTCTGGGGCCCAGGCCACCTTGCCGCCTCTGACCCGCTCTCCGGATGAGCGGCGTCTCACAGGTCTGCTGCTGCCATCTGTGGGACGGCTGCATGGGACACGGGTCATGTGGGTTCGGCTGGACAGCGGGCAGGTGGTGGGGGTCTGGGTAGGTCCCGGAGTCTTCTCCGTGGTTGAGTTGAAGGCCTGGTGGGGAGAGGTTCCCAGAGAGGTGATAGGGTGGCCAGGAGGATTCTGGGAGGTCCCCAGACAGGTGCAGTGTTCTTGCTGTGGCTAGGTGGATTTGCTGGATTTAGAGGCATTGCTCAGAGGACAGGCTGGTGCTATCCTGAGGCTCCGCTGGGGACAGGAGGCTTTTGGGCTGCACATGGGGGCTGTGTGGAGCTGCCTGGGGGCCGCAGACCCGC